CCGACACATTAATTTTCTTGTTCGGTGGTTACGAGCGCTCTTTCATAATCATGAAAGTTCCCCCACAATTTCTGTTTCAAGGGAGGGATTAAAGAAAAGTATGCTCTTGTCATTTAGCAACTTTTAATCGAAAAAAACTCAAGACATACACACTTCATACACGCTGAAGTTTTTTTTGTTTTTTTGGCCTACAATGTAACTTCTGGGTCCACCAATAAATGTGCCAGCCAATAAAGACAATATAGTCTAATGTTTTTACTACTTACATTTATCATTTGTCAGGGAGGGGGTGGGGTTAATTATTGTTACATCAGCTTTATCCAAAAAAACATTTTGCCACTTCCTTACGTATAGGTGTATAAGAAGACATTTTACAAGGAAATAAGCAAGTTTTTTTTTTTTGTTTATTTGGTACGCATTAAATTGCGCGCAATGATGTTGTTTTCGATACATTTTCAATAAAATGAAATTGAGAAATAGTTGATTGTCGTTCAAGGCATATATTGCTTTTTGCAACATGATTACTCATCGAATTGCCACGTCGTGTTGGCTGGTGTCATAAAGTTGAGGCTACAATGGATATTTTAAACATTCTGATCATTTGCTACTGATTAAACTTTGACACACAAGACAGTCCAAGACAGCATAATTTGTTTAAGTAACTACCTACTGTGTCTTTGTTTAACACCCTAGCTAGTAAGTTTTTTTAATGGGTAATAAGTTTCTTATCTCAACTCCTCTGTGACTCGTCATAGATCGTTTATCAAAAGGTTTGCCCCATATTTTTTTGCTCGGGTCCAGTAAATACATTGGATTGGTCTTCGACGTGATAGTCGGTTTTTCCTATAAATCATCGTTAAACTCTTTCTTTGTGTATGACTTTGTATTAGCGATTGATTGCAACCAGCTGCTGTTAATAGAGCGATTTTCGTATGATCTTGAAACGAAAACGCGCGAACAAAACAGAAACAACAAACGAACCGAAATAGAGCGGTTTGATTGGTTTATCGAACGGATACAAACCTGCTTGGCTTTTGGTTGGTTAAGCGAACGCCCGGGTGAAAAACGCCCGAGAGCTTTCTAGAAATCTATCAATACTTCGGTTTGACGTCATACTTCAACCCGATTGGCTAATCGAACAATGCCTTCTCCATATTAGGGTTTTCTTTGGCGGGAAAACGAAGAGGTCATGTTTTGATCCTTTCATCCATTGGCTGATAAAACAAATAACGAACACTTACCGAAACCATTTTTCAAGGTCATACGAAAATCGCTCTACTTTAATATTGCTTCAGTAGTTTCAATCTCTTCCTTTTTGACTCCGAACTTCAACACTTTGCTCAACCTATCGCGTTTTGGTTTAAATGAAAATATATTGAAATTACTGAGTGATGACGACGTCATCATAATTCTGAATTACGGGCTCTAGTAAGACAGAGTTTTAATTCCAAACAAGTGAATATTTCGGATGCTATGAGTACAACTTTATGTTTTAATGGAGGGAGAAAATATCGTCTTGTTTATTAAATGCGCATTAAATTGGGAGCAATGATGAACTTTCTTTGATTAAACTAAAAAAACTGGAGATAATATGATTCACGTTTTGATAGCTGCCTCGGATGAATTTAATATCACCATCCATTAAGATAATAAAGCATAGTATATTGTTCTTGAATACTTTTTTGATAAAATGAAATTGAAACATACTTTCCGAGTTGATAGTAGCTTAAGACATATATTGCTTTTTTGGAACATGATTGCTCATTGAATTGCCACCTGGTGTTGGCTGGTTTCATTAAGATGAGACTACAATGAATGTTTTAAACGCTCTGATCGTTTGCAAATGATCAAGTCTGACACATATAACCTGAGATCAGGCGTTATTGTTATTATTATTGTTATTATTATTTGCTTCTTTGCCTCTTTGGCGCGAGAGGGAAAAAAATAATCCCTGATACATTCATTTAACAAGACATCAACCGCCCCTAATTTACATAATCTAACGTCCGCTTAACCTGTCATGTTATTAGCCAATCAGCGGTTACCAGACGCGAATCAAATTTTTGTGGGAATAATGTCTCTTTCGCCGAAATCATTTTAGGGAAGAGAAAATTTTTAAGTACGAGCAGATGGCGCTTCCTAAAAAAAAATTTAAATGTTTTTTTTTTTTACCTTTCTTTAACAGCTACAAATAATGAAGAATTTACAAGCTCGTTGATTTCGTTCTGTGGCGAAAGCAGTGAAAAAACAATTAGGCTGGAGCATCATATTTCACAATCTGAAAAGTGCTGTGAAAGCGAAGATCGCTCAGACTGATTCGCAGGTTTTTGAAGGAGAAACTACAGTCAAACCAGGTCGAGATTCCATTCATGAATTGATTATTTGAAAAGTGAACCCGTTTGTCGCTTCTGTAACTTGTAGCCGGTATCAAATTGCATTCAAATGATCGGCGAATTTATGACAGCAATTTTTAGTAAACGATGAAATGGAAAATATTTCAGTGTATGAAATTTCTATTTAGACATTCTTCAAATTCAAGAAAACTAAGTTGGCAGAAATTTCATAACGAACACGCGTGTGTATTAACTGCTCATTACGCAAGCAAAATGCAGACTGAAATCAACAACAACTAACGGATGGCGGCGTTTTGGCCAATCGGAACAGCGCAAATCATCCGTATTGTTTCCTATCCAATCAGGAAAAAGTCTAGATTCTGGCTTTTTTGCATGTGATCTGTGAAAGAAATGTATCATGCCCTCCTTCCGAAAACAGATTACAGAGATACAGGGAGAAGGCATGATCGCAGGCTAGACACATATGACCGAATGATTTGCCAAGTAATTACGCACTGTGTCTTTGTTTTAAAACCCTAGCTAGTGAGGTTTTTTTATGGGTAATAAGAAGTTTTTTTTGTCTGAACCTCCAGTTCTAAGACTCGTCGTAAGTCGTATTTAATTAAAATTTATTCGTTTTTTATAGTTTTTACTTGAGTTCAGCAAACAAGTTGGATTGGTGTCCGGCCTAATAGTCTAGGCTTTGGTAGATTGTGATCGAAAAAAAAGCATATTATGCTTTTAGCAGTGCTCATATTTTTTAGAAATTATGCCAAAATTATGCTACTGTCTGAAAATTATGCTCTCTGTCACCGAAATTATGCTACTCATATTTTACAGTGATTTTAAGGAAAATTAATGAACATTTATATAGTCCACCTTCCAGTCTTACAGTCTTTAGCGTGGCAAATACGCATGTGCGCACATGATCTCGCTTTTTTGTCACTTTTAACTTCTCTTTGCCTGCGGCATGTTTTTTGGAAGCCAAGTGGTTTTTTTAAAATGCTCTTTTTAGAGCTCAATATCTCCTTACACCCATTGCAAAACAGTTTTCCACGTCGAAGACACAAATTTTCCCCTGGGAATTCTTCGATTCCATCACGAGGACTCATGTTCTTTGGATCTGAGTTACCTCTTTCCTTGTACTTTCCGGTATTACTTTTAGGAACACGTTCTCTAGGGATTAAAGCTCTCGTTACGGCACTGGAAGTGGTGGAAGTGGATGTACTCGAGGACGACGCCATCTTAGGGGCCGAGCCGCCGCGCCAAAAGCGTGGTGGCCTGAGTCTCAGTCTTATGCACAGGGTGACCTCTGCCGCCTGCCGGACCATATTTGACCATGGGCCTTAGCTTAGCACAGACCTCAATATTTTCCAAAAACAATACAGAAATAAAATACAAACTGAATTATTCTAGAGCTATGATGGGTTTTTTTGTTTTCAACGCATAAAAGCTCGGATTATGCCAGCAGTGCTAAACTGAAATAGATGCTTAAAATAATGCTCGTTTTGCTGAATTATGCTTAAAATTATGCTAGCACAATCTACCAAAGCCTATAGTAGTCTGCTTTTCCTATACACTCTTTCTCTTTGACTGTTTATGTGCGATCCTTTGCAAACCAACTGCCTTTTCTGATTTAATATTGCGTCAGTAGTTCAAGTAACTTTCCTCCATTTGACTGACGAATTCTCAACACCTACAAAGCTCGACCTTCCGCGTTTCTGTTAAAAGAAAGATATGTTCAAATTTCTGTGCAATGAGAAGAACCCCGAGCATTGCACAGACCGTTTTAATTTCAAATAAGTTGAAATTTGTATAGGTAATAGCATGATTAGTAGTGATATTTGGCATAAATAAGTAATACAGTACATGGGGGTACCAGACCACTTTCCATATTTTGCGCTCAACTTGGGATTTTGCTGACGTCAGCCTTTTTGGATCCGGTTTGAACCGGTTTTGGGCGGTTTGATTTTAATAATATCTAAGCCCGACCATATCACCATATTGAAATAGCTTGCGACTATATATTATTTTGGTTTTTGAGTCAGGATCTGGTTGATAGTTTTGATATTTATCTTCATTTGTGAATACAATATGAGAATGATTATTGGTTATTTTTTTGACTCCAAAATCCAACCTGTCTATATTTGCTTTTGTAATCATATCCAATATTTTGTCGACTATTGGATTTTCAATTATTTTCTTTTTATAAGTATCTAAAATAGGATCTAAATAAAAGCTCTTACCGCATTTATAATCAGCTTTTTCTATTGCTTGCTCAGGCTCAATGAGTAGTGATCCTTTGTATCCTTCACAAGTATGTTTTATGATGCCAGATAGTAGTAACAACCCACGGCATGAAATTCTTGGTTCTTTTAGTTGGTTTAGTTGCTATAATGCTGATTTTAGAGCGGTTTTTGTGTGTTTTTGTACGACTTTTGACTTAATATTTGAGACAAGGCCCAATTCACTGGTTAATTTTGTTTACTAAGGCTTACTCTACCATTTGGAGGAATATACATAGATATCAAACTAGTGCCTCCTGATAGAGATTGTTGTTTGGCTAAAAGACGGATAAAGTCTTCCATATATATATTATGTATATAATTATGGAATATAAAAAGGTGTGTTAAATAGATACTGACTTGTTTTTAGTTTGTGATAATTTTATTTTTCAATTCGATGGATTATTTCATAAAGCATTTTTAGTGTGTCCGTATTAAGGAATCGTTTGATACAATATTTACACGGTACTCTTATGCCTTTCATATACTCATGAATATTTTTGCTTATCTTATCATAATCATTACTGAGTATAAATGCATAGCTATTATTAACGTACTTTTTCTTCATCTCCAGTTGGGCTTCTGACACATGATAATTATTAGTTGGTGATTTGAATTCAATACAGAGGCCTTTATAATCTTTGTGATAATCGAGTACCATTAGATCAGGCTGTCCTCTCATATATCCTTTCTTATACGAATCCAGTCTCTTATTCTCAGTATCTTGATTCTCTCCCAGACCGGCTACTAATATGGAATCTGGATAATATCTCCTTATGAGGTCCACTACTTTATAATGGAGGTCGGTCTCATTGCCAATCATGATCATCTTATTCCAGGGGCTATCAAATAGTTTGTATTGGCCATATTTGCGGATGGATGGGAGGACTTGTGAAGTTACCCAATGTTTAAACTTTTTTGCTGTTTCCAATTTTGAGGATAAAACGAGAGAGTAGAACCCGGATTCATTAATATAAGTACATAAACTGCCACTCGGACCCACCGTCCACGTTTTGTGGACGCTGGCATGAGGAGTAAATATTTGTTGCTTATCCTCGTTATCAACGTGCTTTAATAATGCATCTCTTGTTTTACTATAACCAAGGATCTCAGCAACATCTTTTCCTCGGAACCAAACATTTTGCTGATTATCAATATATGATGTCAGCTCAATTTCTAAATCTTTATTAGCAAACTTTTTTTCAATCATGCTCATCATATATATAGGTTACATAAATATTATCATGCAGACCAAAAATATGATGAGCATGATAGATTAAAAAGTATGGCGGGTCTGAGGTGCCGTTTCAGCACATTAGACCTGCAGCTCCGTTTTGGAGCTCTGGCAAAACTGTCTCATTTTTGTTTCTCTCTAGTGTCATTTTGTTGAAGGGGCGAAACGTCCACGCCAATATTTTAGGTATTTTGTTGAGGTGGCGTTTTACCACCCCAACCCACCGTACTCATTTTGGGTCCGCTGGCAATTTACTCATTCTCCTCCTCTTCCTCTGTTTCAAAGATCGCACCTAGGACGCCAGTTACTGTCATCTCAGCTGATTCCAGCTTTTTGGAGATTAATTTCTTGTGATGTAATGTCGCAATCTCTTCCTTCCAATTTTTGGATTTTAGTGAATAGTGCATTAAGCTCGGATTCCTTACTCTGGATTTTAGTATCAAGCTTTCTTATATGATCGTCCATATGTACTATTAGTTAGATAATTCTTGCAGGTTGCTTAGTGGAATCCAACTATTAAAGTCGTCACTATAGCCCAACCATTTTACAAGAGCTTGTTTCTTCTTATAATCCCTCCGAATGACTTTTTCGATGCGAAATACGTCCTGTTTTGCTGGCAGTAATTCTGGTTCATAAAAGCTGCCTTGTATTTCCTCATTATTGAGATCTTTTAATCTGTATGTGATTGGTTTTGTCGATTGGATTTTATCGATCAGGAATATCTCTTCTGTCCAGTTAGGTGTGTACCCTTTATCGAATACTTTTCTCTTGTACTTACTTATCCTCACTTTATCACCAACTTTGAATTTGGGCTTAGATGATAACTGTTTCATATCACCATACAGATTGTAATACACGGTGTTTTCATTTTTCTTTTAACTAGCTTCTACAGGTGTCATTTTAATGGAACTGTGTTTGGTATTATTATACTGCTTCAATATTTTTGGTAGTATGTCAAGATATTGGGTATTAACCTGGACAGTAAATTGCTTCCACATTTTGGTTTTAATTGTACGGTTCCATCTTTCACAAACACTAGATTTTTCCTCATTCTCGGTTGAGTATAGTGTTATGTTATTCTTTTCTAACAGTTCTTTCATATTTTTGTTATAATATTCTTTCCCCTTATCAGTCCAAAGATATTGTGGTTTACGGCCCTCTTTGAAGATGGTTTTAAATGCTTCTGTGACAGTTTTCCCTTTCTTATCCTTCAGTGGGACAATCCAGCCATATTTGGAGAATAGATCTAGAACCATGAGAAGATACCTATAACCCTTGTTCCATTTGCTGAACTGTTGCATCTCAACCAGATCTGAGCACCAAATTTTGTCAATACCGGTTGTAATAACACGCCGCCGAGTAAAGTTGCGTTTTATTGGTTTATGTAATTCATCCGCTAATTGTTGTTGCCAACTGATACCCGACGGCTTTTCTAGTTTAAACCAAGACCGAGTTTCTGTTTTGTGTTTATAATATTTCTAGCTAACCAATGCCCCCATTGTCGTTCACTATAACGAATAGCGTCTAATGATTTTACCATTTTACGGCCAGCTTTATTTTTGCACTTTCGGTTATCACCACAAACACTATAATCGACATCATGCTGCATGGCCGCTGCATCGGTTGGCCCAGTAGGTTGATCATAAATTTCTAATATTTCACCAGTTTCTGGATTGTATCTTACTTGGTTTTCTAAATCATTATAAGGACCTGTATACTGATGTCCAGGTAATGTCCATCCGCCCGTGGGTTTTGGTAATTTACCAATCTGTTTATGGATATCTATACCACCACCAAATCCTGGGATTGTAAAAGATGGTTTTTCAACCCAACCCTTCTTTTTAGCGTAACTTGTATACGATCCCTTATAACCATCAGCTTTAGCTTTCTTGTATTGCTCCTTGTAGTATTTAACACGCTCCTTCATATCAGTGATTTCTTTTTTGTTTGGTGTTTTGAACAAATCAGGGTCAGTCAATAATTGTAATCCTTTCTTAAAATCCACATGATACGGAGATCCAAATACACCTGATGTTAATGCACTATCAAGTAATCCAGCACCGTCCAAATCTTTCCTGTTAGTTTTGTAGTTCTTTTTTGGTCGTATTTTGGTTGATAATTGGTTAAGAGCTTGAGAACCGACATTCTGGATCATTGGATTTAATTTGTCCAAAGCATAATCTATAGCTTTTTTCTGTAATTTAGGGTTTCTGAGCGCTTCTGACCCGTAATATCTCCCCATCTCAACTGTCTTTTTCGCCATATAAAGTAAAGCATGATGTACAAACGCGTCAAGAGCAGTACTACCAACAGTATCAATAATGCCCGCCCCAAGGACGGGCTGATCTAGTTTCCCTTCTTGACAAACTTAAACTTTTTTATTCCGCATTCAGCGCAAGTACACCAAAACATAAGTCTACCATTTTTAGCAGTTTTGTAACCCGAAGGTTCTACACATTCTGTTTGCTTCTTCTGTTTAACACAATAAGATTTCACCCTTATTTAAGAAATGGTAAACGTGCAGCGTGCAACCATGGAGTTATGGATGCACGCGGGAGGTTGCTAAGCACGAAAGAAGCGTAAGAGTCGCACGAGGCGATAGCCGAGTGCGACTCTAGCTTCTTGAGTGCTTAGCAAACCTCCCAAGTGCATCCATAACTCCATGGTTGCACAGTTGCAACGTTTACCATTTCTTTTATAACATAATCAAAAGAGAAAAACATTATTTTCCATTTGCCTTCGGCTGAGTCATCGGTACGAGTTCAAGTATGCTGCCACCTGCCCGCGCGTAAGCAAATCATGATCTATGTTTTTCAAAATCTTCCCTTTGAGTTTTTCTTTCGCTGAATCAACCGTTCTCCGTCTTCAGGTAAATTGCAAAACGTTTTTCGTTGTTATTCTGAATGGCATCTGTCTGCTTGCTCTTAATATTAGGGTAAAAACTTCGAGGGAAAACTATAGCTGCAACTATAAACACCAACTAAAAAGACTCTAAAAAACAAGCTAAAACTAAATAAATGAAATAATTATCAATCTTATTTATGTGGCATTTTTTGAAATAAACGCAAAGTAGAAATGAGAAAATTTAAAGGTAATTCCTTTAGAAAAACAGGCAACACTAATTTTAAAAAGACCTTAACTAGCTTTGTATAGAAATCTGTCTGGGGAAATGCAGCTATGAAAGTCAAAGTTAAAACTGAAATTCGCCGACACACAGCCGGCGCTGAAGCTGTTGTTTTGCGACCGTTCTCTGAACGACTGTTATGAATGAACACCGAGGAACAAAATAATACACACAGAAGTCATTTTTGGAAAAATTTATTTGAAAACCCAAATGTGTCTGTACTCAAATGAAATTCGCTTATTCCAGCGTAATGTGCCGTCTAAACTCAACTAACATTTTTAATCGACGCGATGAAAACTTCACAGCAAAGCTGTCTCGAATTTGGGCGTGTTTCCTAAAATATTTGCTTGAATTTAGCATCAGCTTGACCAAAAAGTCAATAACACAATGCTAATTGATAAATTTACATTTCAAACAGACTTTCTCTTCTATAAAAAACATACAAAATGTGTACCTTAAATCTTCGCTCGCTCGATTATCCTTCAGCCGATTCTAGCCGCGAGGAAAACAGTGATTAATTCATCCAGGGCAAATTTGTCGCTTGATCTTTAATTCTGTCTTTTTTCCTTCAAAACGACAGCTTAGTATTTTCTTCAACTTGCACTTTTCATCTGTGCATTTCATCTGTGTATTTTACCGTCAGGAGAGGAGATTTGTTGAATTTGCCTAAATTTTACCGCGCTAGCTCAGTTTCTTGGCGTGCACCCACGGGCAAACGGTAGTGGCTAACTGACCAATCACAGCACGCGGTTTGCTTTTGTTATGTTATAATATATATTTATGTTATATAATTATTGTCTAATCACTATCACTACCGTCTGGAACATAAGTTTCATGGCTGCTATCTGACTCATAACCACTCTCAGTTGCAGCACTCGAAACATCCATATTGATTCACATAATGTGGAGTAACTTCTTGGCAATAAACACAGAACTTTTCAGTCATCTTATATATATGGATTACATAAAATAGTTTATCAGAAAGTGGTGATTTATCATTTGATTTGTGAAACTGAATTTAGGGTTATGTATAACGTCTAATAATGATTTCCCTTTCTGTCTCTCCAGGAGATAATATAAGCACCAATAACCGCACAAAACACTGTCCCTTTCTTGTATTTCATCTGATAAGTACACCATTTTTTTACCGCTTGTTTTCAGATAATTTTTGATTTCATTGGACATGATTAATCCGAACGGATCACAATACTCACAATATTGCTTATCCACGTTTCAATAACAGACCCAATGACTGCCCCCGCCCATTGAATCATCAAGATTAATTATTCCTGTTTCCAATTTGTGTATTTTGTCTGGTAAATTATCACGGCTGTAGATACCCCTGAAATATTTTATTCCTAATTGTTTGACCCATTGTAACAAATCAATATTCGATAATGGTTTGTTTATGAATCTTACAGTATTGTTCCTAGAATTAGGATTGAATTGAATGGGCTGTTTTTTCCGAGCCGTAGTCCCTTTCCCTTTCTTTTTTTTTTTTTACTCCCATACCAACTGGATTTTCCCATGTTCCAAAGAAGGGTGGCGACATGTAGGGATACGGATTATACATTCCGTGGCCATTAGTTGTATCGGGAACATAAACAGATGTTGTATTAGCGGAACCGGTTCTGTCGGCCTGCAGTCCTTTTCCCGTCAATGCATTTAGTAACAGGGGGACACCTATACTCGCTAATAGAGTACCAAGAAATCCGCTCTGCTGTGTTTTCGTCGGTCTGATAACTAATCCGTTGCCAGTTTGGAGAGCCTTAAGAATATCCTTTTTCTGACCCGTGTTCAGTAAATGTTTGTATGCAACCAAATATGCTATTTTTTCCATTGGAATAAGAAAACCTCCTCGTTGACCTTTTCCGAATATTTTATCCACACCGAGACTGGCTAATCCTGATAACGCTCCCGTTACAAGTGGAGCGGCAGCCTTTTTGACTATTGGCATGGCCATAGGTAGCAACCTAGCTAATGATCCCCACAAACTACCACCCTGTCTAACAGCCCTTCTGATTTGTGTTTTTGATATCTTGATATCCGACCCTGTACCCTGGCTCATTGCTTTTCTCAGCTTATTGATCTGAGAGTTTGTGAGCATTAATTCATGTGGGCCAGATAACTCATTTCTAGCTAATCTGATCGTTATCGCTGAGTTATTATTGTAAGCTCTCGAAACCTTGTCCAATTGTCCTTTACTAAGTGACTCACCATAAGGATAATATTTAGTCATTACTTATATATAATGTATGTTATATAATTTTAACCGTATTCAATTTACGATCTAAGTATTATTTTGCCATCCTTCTGTATTAGCTCAACATCTTGCTCATATAATGTTAATGCGTAAATTGAGTAGGCCGCTGCCGTTGTTCCAGATAGCTCATATTTGAATGTCAGTTTTGTGGTGCCATCCTTAATGTCCATTTTCTGTTTTGTTAAGTCGAAATATAAGAATGGAAACAGGGTACTGAAATTGGATTTATTGAGTAATGACCCTTCACCGTATTCATTATTTTTGTGAACATACTTCAACACATCCCTGAAGACTCTAGTCATATCAGTACTTGGTGTGTAATGTATTTCGGGGTATTCATTTCCGTTTCCAACTTCCAGGTGACAATTGGATGAGGTTCTTAGGTCAGTTGATACAGAGAATGTGTTGTACAAGAATGGATTAGCTGTCTGGGCATCGATATTCGCATCATTGATTATGAACACAAACACGTGTCGGGGTTTCGAAATACCAGAAGAGATTCTGAAATGCCCAGCCCTCTGCTGGCTACTATTTGATCTTTCAATATTCTCTCTCAAATAAGTCCACTTATGATTTTTAAGGTATTGGCTCATATAGGATGATTGGCCCTCACTGTTAAAGGTTATCCGTGGAACATACAATTGCATTCTGGTGATAACTACCCTGCAATCAGCCCCGGCTTGCCTAATTAGATTACCATCTGACTCAATCTCAAAATTCATCTCAACCCTTGTATTGGGTAACAGCTCATCCTCTAACATTTCAAAAAACGAGTATCTGTTCAGTGGTATTTCAGTGTTTACTGTGGATGAGACACCTAAGAGTGCTTTTCGAAGGGCAAAACCCTTATTGTAAGCTGCTCGCCTTTTAGCTAACTGATTTGTGCCACTAACTTCAAATTCCCGCTCTTCCGCATTTCTGGATGTATCAAGGAAGAAAAACTCATTACTTGCTGTCTTACTGGCGTAAGCCGGACTGTGGTCAAGTAAATTTTTAATATTAACCGCGTGATTCGCGTCATTACAATCGTACACTTTCTTGCCATTCAATTTAATATCAAAATGTTTCAAGAATGAGTACGACCCGTTTACAATACCATTGTGATCTGCTACTGCAATGTTACCACCATTAGCCAGCAAGACTACTTTAAAATCAAGACTGATTCGAGCATTATACCAGTCAAATGGTGTAACCTCTCCAGTGTTATCAACAACAAATCTGTAGCCATCTTTCTTTTGGTGAGCATTATTGGCGACAGTTGTATTCAGTGCTGTTTCTAGGTCAAAAATAACATCTTCATATCGTTCAACATATTTTGGATCTCTAAAAAAATTAATTATATTAATAGATTACATAAATCTTCTAATCTGGCCTCCAGACAGTAATTGATTCACCCTCATTAATCTCGTAATAGGTAAGCCCCTTTTGTGGATTTTCTATTGGTGTTGTTGCTACTGGTGTCTTTTTATTCTTTTTGCTTAATAACTGAATATTTTTATCGCCTGCTTTTTCGCCGGCATACTCGCCAGTTTTGGTAGCAGCTTTCTGAATAGCCTTTTTGGTTGCTGTTTTAGCAGCTTCCTTCATCGTCTTTCCAAATAGCTTTCTACCAATCGTTTTAAAAACATCGGTAACAACACCTTTTCCATAAATATGCTTTTTAACGTATCTTCCCGTTTTAACATCATAACGTCTCTTAAATTCTGAGTGTCCCATTGTATATTATTAGGTTACATATTATGCTGGTTTGGATCGCAATATCAATGTCATAAACCAGTCAATCTTATTTAGTCCAATTGGTCGCCCTAGTGAATCTGTAATGTAAGACCTCATTTAGAAATATTAAGCTGGGAAACTTCATTAAACAATAGTCGTCTGGGTTCAAATGTGAATGGAAAGCTTCTTGTCAAATTATCAGCTGGAATAACAGCTAACGTATTAGTATTAACACCGTTCAATATGCTGTTCGTAATAGCATCGGTACTGATATAAATCATATCAATGGAATTTGTGATATTAGGCAGATTATCATCCCCATATTCTGTTTTCTTCACAATTTTCTCTGTAAATCCAATTAACTCGCCAAATTTACTATTTCTCAGATCCAGTTGGTAATTGTTGTCGATCTGAATGAGAATCTTATATGTGGACAATACAAATGTTAGATTAATGTAGTATACATCATCCTTATTGGCATCAGTAGTTTTATGGCCCTTCTTTTTCATTTACTGGTGGAGATAGTCATTTAGATCTGAGTAAGTATACATTCCATCCACAAATTTAACTGTTTCCCATGATTTTCCACCATCAGGTGAGTATTTTATTTGGTTATTTTGATACTAATCTGAAATATTATGCCAACTGTAAGTCATAGTGGCCTTATCCAGTGCTATTTCATGTGTCATATTATTTTGGAGTTTTAACACTGGATCAAATTTGATTATAAAGTCATCTGCTTTATTCTGTCCAATTTTTTGTCTGTTAACAGATGATATATGGAGTGCTCTTTCTTGCATTTATATTATTAGATTACATATTCCTTCAATAGACTATTAAGCTGGTTGTTATTTAGAACGCCTAATTTATTTAGTGTGTGAGCAATTTTGGAAAATTCATTTTTCACACCATTATTTCCAGCCAATATGGATCCACCTAATAATTCTAATCTGTCCAGTAGGTCAACTGGATTATTATAATAAACAACACCTGCACCGATTTTTTTGTATTTATTACTTGTTCGGTGAATTGGAATATCACTTATTCTGTTCAGGTCATCAAATACCATTTTAGATAATGGTGAATACTTCTTTTTACTATTGAACCGCTTTGTGAGCAGATCAAGGGTATCAAAGTCCGCTTGTTTATCATAGACTTTTTTACCATCCTTATGAGCAATTAGTTTGAGCTGGCCATAAAGTTTGGGCACGTCAATTGTTACATTTCCATAAACACCAGTATTAGGGTTAATCATATAAGAATTTCTCTTTTTTTGTGTATAAATACCCTGACCAACTTTCAATGTTTTTGCTCCTTCCTCTACAATACCAATTCGTTGTCTGTATTTTCTTATGATATCAATTCCTTCAGTATACTCGGCAATTTCATCCTTATTTTTCTTTCTGTTAGCTTTTGTTGTGCTCAAATGGGCTTTTTTTCTGACCCAATTTCTTATTTATTTCACCGGATTTATCCAGAATTTGTTTCGCATAATTTGGCTCTTTTAAGGTTTGCAAAAAGATGTCAGCTGGTAATGGCAATTGCTGGGTTTGTATGAATGCCAATTCTTGAGTAAATCCTTTATTCATATCAGCTATCATTTTGGGTGCCACCTCACCACTTGGGCCTGGTAATGCTAATCTTTGAACTTGTTCACCATAGGGGATAACTTGTTTATTAACATCTTCTCTCAATTTACTGATTTCCTCAATTTCCTTATCAAACTTTTCTGTTAGAGGTTTTAGATCTTTAGCCACCTTTTCATATAAATCTTGATCTCTAGTTTCAACTTCTTTTATAACATCCCTAACAACTTCAGTCATTTTTCCTGCTTCAATTTTAGGAATACTGAGTCTCTTGAATCTTTCTATATCCATTATACTAGTACATTATATAAAACTTATCTTAACTTATCTAACATAATAGTATAATGGAGATTCCAAATTATGATTTCAATGAAGATGAAAATACAAACTTCAAACAGCTGTACAAGTATATGCCCAAGTCCAATTTCCGGATGCTCAAGAGGGGATTATAATATGTTAGGTAAACAACTGAAAGGTGTGGCTAATGGAACTTCCTTCACCGATGCAGTAACAAAACAGCAACTTGATACTAAACTACCGCTTTCTGGTGGATTAATGACCGGCAATTTGGATATGAATAGCAAAAGGATATACAATGTAGCACAACCAGATGATGATAATCAACCAGCTACAAAGATATGGTCAGAAAATAAATTCCTGGATAAGTCCAGTGGAGTAATGGCTGGACCACTAAACATGCCCAATAATAAAATTACTCATCTTGCCAAACCAACTGATGATAAAGATGGGGTTAACAAAAAATACATAGATGATAATTATTTGAAACTGTCCGGTGGCACTATGACTGGTCTTATAATATTAAATAAGAAAATCCTTACTTCACAATATCAAGCAATAAACCGGAACACTGGAAATGCATTTTTTGTACAAATTACTAATCCATATGTTTACCACCAATTCAATATGGTCAAAACAAGATTATTAATCTTGGAGACCCGACTGATGCTACTGATGCTATTAATCTGAAAACACTAAATAAATATGATATAAAGCCATCTGATCATACAAACAGATTTGCATATCTCATGGACCCTACAAATGGTCTTTTACAATGGACTGATTTACTAACTGACAGTATTGCCCTAAACAGCATTGGTGATTTAGAAGCAACATCGGGCAACTATCATTCCTACAATAAAAAGGTGATTTTCGCATCCATTAAGAAGAATTCAGAGGGTGGTTATAAATGGCGATTAGCTATCCAATGCTACCCCCTTCAAAAGGATAAAGAATACACATTGTGTTTGGAAATCCTCACAACAGACTATCAACTATGGCACAAATTTGTAATTACTGTTGATACAACTACCAGCCAGGGAGTAACTGTAAAAAGATGGCATGTCAATAAGTACTCACATGAGTATAGAACATCTTCCAATCAGGTTGAATATATGTATTATCATAAACTCCTGGTGACATTCAGTAAGACAGCTGAATATACTCCTTATTTCTTACATATCCAGGATGTTATGGCTCAGTCAGGAATTGACTTGAATACATATCCCACTAATTTCAATAAATATTACCTAATAGTTTACGGTATTCTTGGTGAGTCAATGGATTTAGATCCAGACAAAACTTATGATTACCATACAGCTTTTGATATTAAGCCGACTGAAGTTGTTTACAATGTTGATCTGGATATGAACAGAAAGAAAATATTAAATATAGCTCCTGATCGGAATCGCAATAATTCGGCTGCTACTGTAAAGATGGTCAAAGATTTGGAGACAAAATTGAGCCCTTATACAAAGAATAATGTGTACAGGGAAATATTTGAGGAATTTTATGATTTAAGTGAGCTGGTATCTATAAACTACAAACAAGACCATCAGGTGTCGTATTTATAGGTTTACTTCCTAACATATATTTCACAAATATGTTTATTGCCAATATTGAGGAAGGCGGATTGAGGATAAAAAATAAACCAATAAGTTTAAGATTACTCGGTAAAAAGAGCTTTACTCTTTGTGTTGTTATGCAGCTATGGCTGAACAGAAACATGTACATTAAAACGTTAATGAGAGATGAAGCTGATCAAAAACCATACTTGATATGATAAAACATCAAAGAAATTAAAACTGCAAACTAATGGTCTGAGAGCTGGGTCAACTAACGAAACGTCTATCACATTACTAAACAGTTTCAATGGTAAACGTGTTGTGTTTTGGCTAACTAAGAAAGGGACAGGGGGCGACTTTACAGTAAAAGCTTCAATTTCAAATTATAGCGGAACATTAACAATAAGTTCAGAATTAGCATCTCAAAATAACTACACATTTAGAATATCCTCAGAAGATGCAACAATCTATAAAATAATGTACACTCCAAACTTTCACGATCTGGATTCTCACGAATTTCATCAAATAATACTTCAAGAGAAATTGAACGGTTCTTATACTCTGTAATTTGTCTAAACAAATAATATAAATGAGTATATTCAACTTCAACCACATTGACAAAAACAAAACAAAAGAAGAGATACTGGAAATTAAAGAGCTGTATAAATATTACCACTATAGATACTGGTGCTATCAAAAAGCCTATACACACTACAAAAAAGTCAATCTGGCTTCTAATATCGTATCGGCGGGTTTAGTCATTATTGGTAGCGTGGCCGGTGGCATCACAGCTAATCCCATTATTATAGGTACTGTAACAGGCGCCGGTGTATTACTCAAAACATTTTGTGAAACTAAGAACTACAAACGTAAAATAGAAATGAGCAAATATGCATATACAACATATCAGAAAATATTAGCCGATCTCAAAACTTCGCTTCGCGGTGGGCCCTTTAATAAACAGGACTTTTTAAAAGAGGTTAACATTCTTGATGATACAATTATAGATTTCTGTCCATTAGTAACAAAATTTGAAAAACAATATGGGAAAAAATTCCTCTCTACCCCCACTACTAACTCTAATTAATATCCTCCTTGATGAGATCATAGATTTGAGCCCACTACTGACTGTAATAATTTAACGTCTTCTTTGATTTTGTGAGAGGAATAAACTTGTATTCTATTCCTAACATGTCGAATAGTTGTTTAATGATAAAGTTTACACTAATAAGCCGTTTTCGGCGAACACCCGGTTGGTGGGTAACATTATCAATTAGTTTGAATATTCTCAGGATATTCCCTCTATTATAATAACCAATTTGAATGCCGTTTGTTTGTGCGATATCATTCATGACATTTATGATTTGATATTTTGTGTGATATACGGACTTTCTTTTTATTCTGTATCTATTCTCATAAAAGTCAATATACTCGTCTGCTGTTAAATAATCATGTACTTGGCCACAATTTTCACACACAAGAAGGTTATCCTTGACCAGTCTCATAGAATCGCAACAAAAATATCGCCTGGGCTTACCGGGATCCTGAATCTGTTTATCACAAAAGACGCAATTAACATAATCCTCCTGGATCAATAACTCATGAACTTCTTTATTACACATTACTATATACTATATGGAGATTTTATTTTTATATATTTTTATGCCCATACGCATAACTCGTAATTCCATCCTCGAGTATATACCGTTTATCATAAAAGCAGCTAAGCGATATTTTATTCAATTGGTAGCTGCCAATCTGGTGGCAATCACTCCTAATTGTGCGCATGCTGTGTAACATTTGTTTACGATTTAATAAGCAATCTTTATAATTCTCATGAGTTATATTCTTTTTTATAACATATTTTCTGACACCCTTAGCTGTCTTTTCATTTTTACCATGATCTTTCACATAAGAATACATTTTACTGCGGAGTCCAATAAATTCCACAATAGGCATGCCAGCTGCTTCATCTTTAAATTTACTGATAATTTTTTTATTCTCCACACTAAAGTATGGACTATCTTTGGGGTAATCACTATTGTCAAATAATTGTTTGTCCTCCCAAAGTTCTTTATAAACATCCCTTGTCTCAATCTCATAACAAAGACTGTCTGCATCAGTAAATAATAGTTCAGCCTTATTATTGTACCTACTTTTGATATAATTATAATGACAGTCATACTTGAGAGTTTTTGATAAATCCAAAATGCACATACCCACGTAAGCTGGCCGGTCAAGTGTTAGTGTTTCTTTTATTTTATGAACCGCCACAAGGTCCTCATTGAAGATCTTACTATTAACAAACGTCGGCTTGCTCACAAGTTTAGACAACTTCTTCTGATCAGTCACTAATCTCACGTCAACGCGCTTTCTTATGTTTTCCATGGTTTTCCCAAATACGGAATTATTTAATAATTTGAAAAAGTCCTTGTCAAATGCATTCTTAGCATTCATTCTCTTTTGGGTGTTAAAATTAATGTACTGTGCGAGCCAGGGAGACTGGTCAAATTCTAATACCCTATGAACTTTCCTCAATTTAAGACCAAGAGACAGATAGAGTTGCAAATTTCTGTAGTGTAACACATAATTCTTTTTACTGGATAGTGTTGGAATTAGCTTAGCAACCTGGCCAATGCTTATTCCAAACTATTTTTGCAATAAGGAGAGAGTATTTCTTTGGTAACTTTCATTTTCTCCGCAGCTAGAGGATAATCATTATGCAGCTCCTGTAATTCTTTAGGATATTCCAAATCGACTTCTAAAATCATACCCTTTTTTCTGTCTTCTGTAAAAGCAGCGAGATTAACTTTTTGTATTTTTTTTTCAGTCATCCACCTAAAACCACCTGTTGGTAAATATTGAGACATCGCCCATCCATAAAGGTTATTAGCGTCTAGATACATAATATACTTACTTGGTTTCTCTGAATTATATATATCCGCTCATATATTTATTATTAGCTTCCCCGTGTCGGTTAGCAATATAAGAAATACCACCACGTAATCCCTTCTCTATGAATTGGAACATATCAACATCCGTCATGAGCTCCAATTTTGTACCGGTCATTTTCAACATAGCATCCCAACTCAAGCCGGGAGATGTGAAATAGTGGTAAGGATCTAGTTTATAATACTGATGACAGGTCTTACGGAAATTCTCCAAAACATCAGCTAATAGGAGAATATCCGACTGCAAATATAAATCATGATAATAACCCATTGTTTTCATATTAAAAGTCTGCCAAACTTTGTGAGCATGTTTATATTGCTCATCAGAGATACTGTCATCTGTCAGTATACTATAGAATTCCTCTCTTGGAGGTAGTTGCTGATCACCAAACTTCTGAAAACTATCCATGTAATCATAAGGATACACTCCTTTCTGTTTCATCAATGCTAATTTCTCATCTTGGAATACCTGACTGGTATACTTAAACGTATCGGTGGGTAAATTAGCGGCCAATCTCTCCAAACTGCTGGCCATAAATTGAAAACTATCCAAAAATACCAAGTGTTTGCCTAGCATAAATGCCATATACTTTTCCATATTATTAGGGATGCAATTAATGCTCAAATTATTACTTTTTCCGATTGATCCAATTTCTTGCATTATAAAATGGGAATCATACCCGCGCAGATTATGAAAAATGACTGGCACTTTGAACTCTTTTGGGCTAATCCTAAGCTTCAGATTACAGTCCTGGTGTGCTGATCCTCTGTACTTGCCGGTAATGTGACAATGATCCCTAACTCTTACTTCAGTATCTAAATATTTCCCCCCACAGATGTGGCATTCCTCAGCAGCCTTAAATAATTCTTCCCCCTCGTCCGTCATCTGGAGTGGCTTTTGGAACTCAGTAGCAATTATTTTTTGACAATATTCTACTCCTGAGAGCATATCCAACATAAAGTAGCTAATAGAATTCTCCCCTCGATAAATTTTCACTGATTTTGAATATTTGTCATCATAACAACATACCAATTTATAACCATAACTACAGCCAGTGTGCTTTTGGTACTTATCAGTATAAGATTTAGCATCATCTGGTTGGCACCCATATACTTTTTCTGTAATAGCCTCAAAATCGGCGTATATCACAAAAGGCGCTGGCATCTGTTTATCATAGTTCTGAAACTGGACTATACTGCCCTCCTTAGGCATCCTAATTGCCTGTTTCCCATTTATTACCATACAATTGCTCTTATGTTTTGTCAGTATCTCATCAGTGCTAAAACACTGGAGACAATACATACAAAAATGCTTTCGCTCCTTGTGTTTGGTCTTATTATACATCATCTTATTAAAATCCTTAATTAGGACATAATGTTGCTTCTCTCTGTGTGTAATCAACAGCAGGTTCAATACTTTCTCGTTTTTATGCTTTGAGACGTGAATTGGATAAAATTGCTCATTCTCATAACCAAACAGATTAATATTAATGCTATTTTGCTCTTCTATTTTACCATAATGTTTAGCAGCGACAGGGAATTCCACTCCTTGGTATTTAATTCCTGGACCATTTTTCTATCAATCTTTTTAATCCGCTGGGGATGATCATTTTGTGGATTCAAATATCGTATATGACACCAGCGAAAGCATTCATTATCCTTATTTTGTAAATTGATTAGCCCCTTAGCAGAGTTCTGTAACTTCGCCAGTAGAGGAATATAGGAATTACCTCTCATTGGCTCATACACTATTGTATTTCTAAAATGTTCATCGATACTACTAACAGTCCAACCACTACCCTCAGACAACCAGACGCCAATCCCATTAAATATTTGTTGCTGTGATAATTGCATGCTTGATAAAAAATCGTTAGGATTAATTACTATTAGCACCCGACTATTAAAACAAGCTGGCTTGTATATATTATCATCATCCTTTCTCTTTACAAATGTAACTTTTAACGTCTCCACAAACTTGAAACCTTTTGTGTTATTGAGTATAGTGTTAAATAATCTACTTATTGCTAGTCTTGTATTTTGGAGCTGCACCAAAGCATCTCTATCAGTCTTCAAACCGATCTCATATGATGTGAGTTCCACAAACTGAACCCTGATTAAAGCATTTATTCCCTGAATACTGCTTCCTGTACTTGCACCAAAGATGTCACTTTAAGTATACAGTGTACGTGTCCTTGTACTTGTACGTTGAAGAACTGTTTGCTCTTGCAGAAAAACAACAACAAAAAAATGGCGCCTAGCTCTACCATGTGCTCTCCGGTCACATGATAGTCATGTGACCGGAAGTCCGAACCAAAACGCAGAAATGGAAATAAAATACAAAAAAAGGAAAAATGAAACAAATAGAATAAAATAAACTGACGACGGTCGGTAGTTACACCGGCCCCTAAATGAGAATGCACCGACAGCAATATCATTACAAACATAAGCTACCGACTACCACTAAACACAACGTTATAAAGGAATGATTAGAATCACTGTTCATGACTATCAAAGCCAATGTTCATATCAACGTTCATTAAATCATCTCCTTGCACTGCTACAAAGTCACTTAAACTGGTCCTACTCTATCGGCCACTCCATCCATCTCCAGAAAACATAACTTTGTAACTGGGCGTGTAAGTATGGTGGTACTGGCTGCGGTCACAGGTTCTCTTCTGTACCGCCGTTTGGCACATATTGCTACTGTTGCACTTGTCTTCACCTTCGCTGCGCGCACCCACCCATCGCGGCTCGCAATAACTTCCACAACTCTTCCAAGCGGCCACTTCCCTCTGGAAAAGGTTTCGTCTGCTACAAGCACCAAGTCACCAATTTGTAAATTCCTTTTTGGCTCAGTCCACTTCTTCCTGTCTAACAGAGTGGGCAGGTACTCCCTCGTCCACCTATGCCAGAACAAATTGGCGAGATACTGCGCTTGCCTCCAAGCACGTCGGCAGGTGAGGTCGTCCTTGTCGAAGACACCTGGAGGTACACTTGGGCACGGGCGCAGATGCAACAAATGATTAGGGGTTAATGGTTGCTCGTCTAAAGGACTGTCGCTATTTCTTGAGAGGGGTCTGGAATTGAGAATATTCGTCACCTCTGCCAAAACGGTTGAGAGGACCTCATCGGAGACTACCTGCTCCTTCAACATCGCTCGCAAGATCTGGCGCACAGAACGTATCATCCGCTCCCAGATGCCGCCCATGTGGCTCGCCGCTGGTGGATTGAAAATCCATTCTATCATCTTCTGTCCACAAAAACTGTTGATCTTCTGCTGATTCCATCCCTCTATGGCTTCCTTTAACTCCCTTTCTGCGCTAGTAAAGTTTGTACTTCGATCACTTCTTATCTGCTCAGGACTACCACGAATACTGATGAATCTTCTGAGTGCATTTATCATTGAGTCAGTGTCCAAGGAATGGGCCACTTCTATATGGACCGCTCGCATTGTCAAACACGTAAATAGGCATCCATACCTTTTCACATGGGATCTGCCCTGCTTTACTTCAATCGGCCCGAAATAATCGACACCAACAAATGTGAATGGTGGCTTGTCAGGGGTTAGCCTCTCTTCAGGTAAATTTGCCATAAATTGCTCTCCCGGGCGTGTGTTTCTTCGCTGACAGTCAATACATCTCCTTAACACTCGTCGCACTCCTGACCTTCCTTTGACCACCCAGAATGTTTCTCTTAAAGAAGACAAAACACATTCTTGACCCATGTGACCCAAACTCTCATGATACTGCTTGATAATCAGATCCGTCACATGATGCTTGTAGGGAAGGATAATAGGGTGTTTCTTCTCATAAGGAACCGGGGCAAGTGCTAGTCGGCCACGAACCCTCAGCAAACCACCCTCTAAGCGTGGGTTGAGCTGATGCAACGCCGTTCCTGCCTTTCGAAGGACCTTTTTAACACAACCGTCTACATCGGAACTTCCTGCTGATGAGAGAACCTCAATGACTTGAGGGAAAGACACTTGCTGTACTTCCTTGAGGATTTCCTTCTCGGCGTCCTGAAGCTCTGCCACCTTCAAGTGGCCATATTTCACGAATGGCACTTCGCCGCTCTGGATTTGGGATTCACTTGAAACTAAAGCGCTCCTCTTACTCAGCTGAACTTTCAGTGAAAGGTACGCTTTGTACCGCAACAACCAGGCTACAGCCCTTTTCAACTTTTGCTATTAAGGGCTCCAGGTATTTACTTTGAACAACAACGGTGTAAATCTGAGTCTCCTTCCTGACTTCAGGGTCGTCATCTTTCAATGCTGGAATTTCAACCATCCTTGGCCAGAGGCTCTCATTTCCCCAAAGAAACTCCGGACCTCTCAACCAGCGATCATTTTTTAACATGTCATCCAATTTAAGTCCCTTTGAGCCATCATCTGCAGGATTATTATCTCTGTTTACATAATGCCACTCGGAGTGGGAAGATCCATTATGTATCACCGTCAAACGATTGGATTCGAACGTGTGGAATCTTTTTGATTCGTTGTTGATACACTTCAACACTGACATTGAATCGGTCCAGTAGAACACTTTCTGGAACTTCACATCCAATTCTTCACGGATAATCTTAGAGAGTTTCACGGAGATGACTGCAGCTGTCAATTCCAACCTTGGAATTGAAATCTCGCGCACTGGGGCTAACCTTGCCTTTCCCATTAAGAATGCACAATGAATTCGACTGTTCTCGTCCTTCACACGGAGGTATGCAACCGATGCGTATCCTTGACCAGATGCGTCTGAGAAAAGGTGTAACTGTACTTCTCTTACTTCGCCAAACTCTCTGGGTCTGAAACAACGATCTACTTGCACGTCCTGTAACTTGGGAAGATCATCCAGCCATCGCCTCCACTGGATTTTCTCAGCCTCCCCGATGAGATCATCCCAACCAACGTTCTTTCTACTAAGGGCTTGCAACAACAGTTTGGCTTTCATGATGTATGGTGCAATAAAACTCAGGGGATCAAAGAGAGAATAAACGGCTGACACTATTCCTCTGCGTGTCATTGGCCGCTGATTAGCAACTTGAAGGATCTTCTCCAAGACCTCCCACACAAATTTGTCTTCCTCTGTGTTCCAGTTGAGACCTAGAGCAGATTCGGTCGGCAATTTCTCCAAGTCCAAGTTTGCAAATGACTTGGCCCTTTCAGATTCTGGAATCGCTTCTAGCACATCTCTGTCATTGCTATACCACTTTGTCAAATGGAAACCACCTCTTCTTAGTAGCTCCTGGCGTTGACTCACCAGCACAACTGCCTTCTCGGTAGTGTTTGTTGACTTCATCATGTCGTCCACATACATGTTACGCTTGACCGTTTCCACTGTCTGTTCCTCGAACCCTTCTCCATGTAACTCGGCGGTTTTTTTCAAACAGAAATTAGCAATACTCGGGGACGATGTGGCTCCAAATAGGTGCTTCACCATTCTATATTCTTCCAATTCTCGAGACAAGTCTCCATTGGGCCACCACAAAAATCTAAGTGCATCACAGTCCTTAGGTTCCACCAACACCTGATGGAACATCGCTTCAATGTCAGCTACCACTCCAACGGGCTCTTGTCTAAACCGACTAAGGACACCCACTAATTGATTTGTTTGATCAGGTCCTTGTAAAAGTTGTTGATTCAATGACGTCCCTCCGTACTTGGCAGCACAATCATAAACGACTCTCACTTTGCCGGGCTTTAAAGGGTGAGTTACGGGATGATGAGGTAGGTACCACACCGGTCTGTCCTTTACCTCTAAATCTTCATCGGGGACCTTTTCAGCGTGGCCACTTTCAATGTAATAATCAGCCATTGTTTTCTTGTATTTCTCTAACAAGGCTTCGTCTTTCAGGAGTCGTTTCTTTAGAAGCAAACCTCTTCGCTCTGCAACTACCCTGTTGTTAGGTAAAAATGGTGGCTCATGTCGCCAAGGCAGGGCAACCTGAAAGTGTCCATCTACCATCTTAAGAGTTCTCTCCATTATTTCTAGGGCCCTTTTGTCTTCCAATGATGCACAAACTCGCGTCTCGACTTCACAGTTTTCAAAATCTGTTCTCCACAATCGCTCCAACTATTGACTAAGCTCATCGTCCCGAGCTTGACGATCAATTTCATCTATCTGTAAACGATGCTTGGGTTCATTGGCATTACATTCTAGTTCAAGGACACAGTTCATGTCTGCAACATTCTCTTCATAGGCATCTTCACTGTTTAGCCCTGTAGACAACACAACACTCTTCTTGTGGTCTTTGCAAAGAACATAATCTTCAAAATCTAAACCACCTGCGCACACAACAGAGCTATCTTCCATACGTAGGTAGTTGACTGAGCGTTCGGCAGTACGGCTTTCTCCACCAACAGGACCTATCACCGTCCATCCCAGGCTGTACCTAATTGCTACTGGTTCTCCTTTGCCACCAGCACGGCATTCTAACGGCAAGAACAAGCTTGGGTTGTCTTTAAGACCAACAACCAACATGACACTTGTGATGTCCAACTGTTGTAACTCAATATCACGCAAATGAGGCCAATTTTCAAGGTCCTCCTTCTTGGCTATACAGCTCTCAGTTATAGGCATATGCTTGACTGTCCTGACGCTTGAAAGTTCCACTGTCACTGATTCATCCATTGACATCACCACAAGATCTACTTGTTGACTTTCAACTCTGGCTGAGCCCGTCATCCCTGCTAAAGTGAAGTCCAGCCTCGTGCCGCTTGCACCCAATGTCTCCTTCAACTTTTCATGGCAAAGAGTCACTTCTGAGCCACTGTCCAACAACGCATATGTTTCAACAGGTATCAAATTGCTACCTTTGGCTAGGACCTTGACTGGAACAACACTAAGACAGACTCGCTCGCCGGCCCCAGTTGCAGCAGTTACGGCAGCACCTTCACTAGTTACTCCACTGGTTTCACTGTTGGTGTTCGCCCTTGTTTCTTCCTGATTAAGCTGGCGTGGATTGACACTTGGTGGGGTTGAATCTGCTGGAGGGGGGTGTAGCAGTGTGTTGTGTTCCTTCTTACATCCATTCACTTGACATTTGAACTGAGTTTTGGGGCAGTTTCTTGCAAAATGACCGCTCTGGAGACACTT